GTGAAGGACACTGAACAGGTGGGTGAAGGACACTGAACAGGTGGGTGAAGGACACTGAACAGGTGGGTGAAGGACACTGAACAGGTGGGTGAAGGACACTGAACAGGTGGGTGAAGGACACTGAACAGGTGGTTCTCAACACCTACATAAAGGCTCAAACAAATGATTGACATGAAGTTCCAGGTCCTGTGAGCAGAAGTTAAAAACAACCTGAAGTCTCAGACATGTGCAGAAACGGATCTGAAAACACTCTTTAATCAGTCCACCTGCTAAAGCTTTGGTCGACTTCAGACCTCCTGGTCTGGGCAGATGTTTTCTCCAACCACAACCCATCCAGCCTTTATGCAAACCTTTGACACAATGTTGACCAACATTGGTGTTTGTGGAGCTGATGGCAGCAGGTTAAATGAAGAAACATTACCTCATTGTCTGTGCTGTAATCAAAGGTGAGGTTCCGTGGGATGGAGGTCATGGCTTTGGGCAGTCTGAAGCTTGGCTCTGACACCTGATCTGGAACAATGTAGGTACAGTTGAGAGCAAAGTCCACCTCCTGCCAGGTGCTCAGATCTCCTAGTGTGCTCTCCAGCTTCATCCTGCAATGTTTAGCTGGACTCTGTGATAAACTGAAGTTTTGGACCTTTGAGTTTGGGTTCTGCTGCTTTGGTTTGGCTGAGGTTCCTGTTAGGATCACTGCTTAGAGCTCAGTACCTGGAACAGAAGAACAGCACAMGTAGAAGATAAAACTCCTCAACAAGGTAAAGAACCAGATTCATCAGTCAATCTGCTACTTTGCTCATGAATAACCTCAGTTCATTGATGCCATGTCCATTCAGACGTCTCATCTTTCAAACCGTTGAGACTTCAGTGAAACTCTGAACACAGACTTACTTTGACACATTGGTTGAGCAGGTGGATCCTCATGTCTTTGGTCATACATCTCCTGACTGTTTCTCCTTTCACTGCTGGGTGGGTTGATGCTTCCTTCTCTCAGACCCGTCAGATTTCTCCTGTTGCTCCGAACACTCGCTCACATTCACACTAACTAACAACCCAGAACTGCACCAAGCATCTTTAGCTGCACCAACTGACCAATCACCAGTCAGCATGGTCACATGATCCAGCGTCTGACATGCGAGTGCTGCTTTTGGACAATAACATGAGTGACGTGGTGTAGCTGGTTAGCAAGTGTCTGTTGATGAATGCTTCCACGTGCACACGCACACGTGCACACACAAAGAAGACGTCTTAATGAATGAATAAAGGAGGAGCAGATGGTCGGCCTGATGCCACTGAAAAACACACTCCAAGACTTTTGCTTGGTTTGGCACTTAATGAGCAATCTGCTGCCAGTGTATCGGCCTGACCTACATCTCACACACACACACACACACACACACACACACACACACACACACA